CCTCGGTGCGGTCGTTCCCGCGTGTGGTGTTCTCTTTAGTGCGGCCGTTCGTAGTGCTGACCCCGTCCCTTAACAAGCAGCCGCTTTCAAGGCGTCTTAAAAATGCATCCAAGTCGGGTGAAGCTTGGAATGACTCGAGCTCTTCTCCCCCGCTGTGGTTTTAACACGGTCAGTGGCAGGTGGGTGGCCCAGGGAAGGAGGGAGAGAATCCTCCGAAATCCCTCCAGAATTTTGGAGAATCCTCCCAAACGTCGCTCCCCACTTCTTGTGGTGCTTGCACCGCACGTAAGGGAGGTCCGCAACTTAATGGCTCAGATGCAGATGTTCTGTGTGATTTTGAATAAGTCACTTAATCTCCCATATCTCTATCCATATTTGTAAAATGAAAAAAGGATCACTTGGCCACTACTGAATTAAAAAGTGTAATTTTGCTTAACACGCTTGTTTTAAATAGAGCCCAGAACACAAGTAAAATTGTGCATTATTTTTTATTTACTACTTGCTATATTTGCATGTAACATGTGGAGGGGACTGGGATGAATTTAGCAAAGACTACAAAGGCCTTATTGTATGAAGCTCTTCCTTGTATTTGTGATTTACTTTTAAATAACTTGCTTTTTTATACTGAGCAATGCAATAGTTTTCATTTTGTCTTAAGGGAAATGTGCAGACTGTTCAGCAGGATCATGGGATAGACCTCAATTCATTTTTAAACTGGACTTTTATATAGCCTTGTTCCTCTCTAATTAGTTTGATGGTTTGGTAATTCTTAGGAATTTTAGAAAATGAAGAAGAACTCGTTTTTAATTTGAGAAACACTTTAGTAATGCCCTAATTTACTATCCCTTTTAAAGTTAACAGTAAGCTATGTCCATAGAAAAACATAGAAAAATAGTTACTATGTTATCAGTTTGTGTACTGTGTATTTTAAAGTTTATTAAAGTGTCCTGGAAACTTTTGTTACCAGTTGCAACACTTAAGATTTTCTTTAATGGGCTCTGCAGAGTTATTGTGATTATCCAGTGGAATGGTGGCTGGGCAAGGCCTGAAGGCTTGCCCTGGTGTTCTTCACAAACTAGAAATTATACTTTTTTTTTTTTTTTTTTAATTCGTATTTGCATTTGCTTTAGCATAACTCTTGCCTGTATCAAACTATGAGATTCTTGAGGATAAATTTATCATTCTTATTTCTCATAGAAGAAGAGCCTATCAGATATTTGTATACTGAATCTTACAAGCATAAAGAACTACCTCTTTCATACCTGGTCGTCACCCTTTAAGAACTGTTAAAGCCTTAGGAAGATGGTAAGTTTTGTATCTTCTTTTATTTAGAAACTGAAGAGCAGGAAGTAGTCTAATACAGTGGTGTGTATCCCAAGCACACTTAAAGATTCAAGTTGATTACATGGCATGGATTTTTTAGTTTAATCTAGCTGCTGCCACAGGCAAATGTTTGAATTTATAGCTTTACCTAGTGAAGGTGTCTTTGTAATTAAGTTCATTGTTGGGCACACTGAAATTATTGTTTCCTTCTAATCAATAATTCATTTAAGAAACAAAAGGGTCACCTATTTGTTTGGATTCCCACCTATGTTTGAACCAAAAGTGCTAGTTATTTCTTTAGGTCAAGGAGGTGAGTTAAAAAATGTTTTTCTTCTCCATGGTTCTAAATGTCTTTTGTATTTTAGTTTAGTTTAGTTTTATATGGCTCATATACAGCTTATTTTTAAAGTTAATATTTAAGTATTATAATTTTATTTATATAATGCTAATAATATTTATATTGTATTGCTAAACACCTCTAAGTGTTAGCACATACATGAGCATGTACGTATACCTTGATCTCACATTTTTGAACTCTTGTCTCCATACATCATTTTACATACAAATTTAGTAGAAATACACTCATGCACAAAAAAGTATGCTAATAGTAATGTCAGAATCATATTTTTTTTTTTTTTGTGAGACTTGTCATTAGATTCTCCTGATTAGCTTAGAATGCAGGTTTAATTTCTTAGCTGCTCATTATTTCATAAACTTACCTCTTTATCTTTCTTCAGTATATCCTGTTTGACAGTTAAATCACTCTAAAATATATCCATAAAATTTAATCCTTTCTGAGAAGAAAATGAATTCACTTCCTGCACACTTAAAGTAACAGAAACTTCTCTGTGTCCTGCTGCAATGCAAAATGTCACAGAATTATCCTTTTAACTTATATGTTGATTGGTGTATTTAAGTTATAGTACTTCAGATGGTAACCTTGGAAAGTAGTAAAGGAGTGGGAAGAGTTTTCTTCAAAAATATAAAGATTGTGCACCCAGGGCATGTCAAACGCAATCAAAAACTTTGTAAATAATCTCTGGGAAGAGTTGTTTTTGAAAATGATTCAGAGTAGCCTCATTTATTTGTCTGGTTCGTTGGTTTTTCCCTTTCCCTACAAATGCATAAAAAAAATCCCGAGGATTGGAGTGACATTTAATCCTGTGCCTCGATCTGGTTTGAGAAATGCTGAAAGTTTGCAACCTGTTGGTTATATTGGACATCTGCCTGCTAAATGAAAGTTCTTCTTTATAGTGAAGTCAGCTGTTACTGCAATTAGAGCCACTACAGTCTGTAAGCCTCGAGTTACTGCCTTTTTTTGTTTGGTTGGTTGTTTTTTTTTCATATGTGTAGTCTGCCAAAAGTGAGAAATGGCTAGGGGACTGGGGAGACCTGGTGTTTTCTTCTGTTATTTGGTCAAACTTACTAGTAGCACGGGAATTAAGAGCCCTAGGTTGCCTGGAAACCTGTCTGTTCCTTGTGACAGTATAGAAAACTTCCAGCCTGGCACTGGAAACACTGGGGAGGAAAAAAAAAAAAAAAAAAAAAAAAAAAAACCCAGATTAACCTGGAGTTACTGTCTTTTTAAACAGGGCTCGATCAATTATGCAGATCATTAGAGAGTGCCCAGGCACCCTTAAGTGGAGCTGTTAATATACTTGCTATTTGGGTTTATTCCTAAGCACTGGTCTTGCATGTTAATGTGGGGTATTTGAAGAAATTCTCTGCTAAACCACTCTTCATTACTTATTTTTCTGTTGTAATAGAATGGTATTTAAAAATGAAGGATTTCACACCTGGTACAGTCAGATTTTGCAGGCTTGCAAGCACTGCAGCAAAGTTCACAGAGCCATTCTGCACCAAAAAGAAAAAAAAATCTTAAATGAGCTGGTGACTGGAGTTCTGTCACTACTGATGTTATTAACATTGTCCAGATCTATTTTGCCTTATAATGAACACTAAGCATCAGTATTTTGGGTGTTTTCAGTGGAGAGGCTAAGGAGTTTTTAGTGTGAAGGCTGTTGCATAAGCTGTGTATTGTAAGGCGTTTTGGCAGGGGTACAGCCTTTCTCACTCTGTGCTATATCTGTTCTGTGTATACAGAGCTACTCAGTCTCTGGGGCTATCAATCTGCCACCTTTCATCAGCACTATATTTACTGCAAATATTTTTGTGTGTGTGCAAAAAACCTATTAAAATGCTGTAAACATGGGTAAGAAAACATTAAAACAAGTGAATCTTCCATTTTACTTCTCTGAGAGAATTGTTCTTTATTGAATTCTGATAGCAAAGTGGGCTGACATGTGCTTGACTCTCAAATTCATTCAACCCATATTTCTATTTCTATTTTTTTTTAATCTGGAATAATCTAGTAAGCTCTTGCCCACAAGTGTGTTGCACAAAACATTTTAATGCATTTAATCTACTTAATATATTATTGAAATGTCTTTGAAAATGAATTGCTAACCTGTAAGATAAGGATAATGCAAAGGAGAAATGGTATGTATAATATTTGTGCACACTGATTTTGGTGTGCTACAAGCTTGCATTTTTGGAACACAATTGCTTAGAGGCATGGAGTTCTTTCTCCTGTTTTCCTCATACTCCATCTTCTCTTCAAACTGAATTGCTAACATTTGACCTAATAAAATCTGAGCTTTAAAACTGTTATTTTCCACCTATGGGATGGTTTTAAGTTTTCTTCTTTTTATTTTTGTTTGGAAAATTAGTATTACGCTAAGAGGAAAGTTGATTAAAAATAGCTATTAAAAATATTAATCCAAATATGTGTTCTATCTTTGTAAAGTGGACATTTGCTAAGAAGACTTCTAGCTCACTTGAAGAATATTTTGAGTCATTAAAATATTAGTGTAGTTGAATTGAAATATGAGGACAGTTTTCTATTCATAGTTGGTTCTGGCCTTGATGAAATTATTTAGGAGCTAATTAATTAATTGATTAGTGTGATTTGTAGTATATATTTTGATTCTTTCCTAATGGTTAAAACATGCGATTTTGTGCTTTTAGCATCTAAATGTTCCGTCATGCGCACTAGCATTTCAATTGTATAGTGTTATCCTTGAATAATGGCAAAATGAATCAGGTAATATCTATTCTGGAACTTAAAAGGTTGTAAATTGTTCAGCAATATTTTAGCATATTCCTTTATCCATGTCTTTGTAAAATCAGGTTCGTAGTGCAGCCCTTACACATTTGATCCCAGGAGGTTTTTAGGTGGCTGATGCACAAAGTTACCATTTATCCAATGCAGATTTGTTGGCTGCTTAGTTTCTGATCAGTATTTATATTTTCTTAAGGAGGACTATTCAAATATTTTATTTTAGAACTGAATTAAACCAAAATCAGTATTAAAAAAAAAAAAATAAACATTCAGTAGATTCTGATTGTCTTGAAAACATTTAAACTATTTGTGGTTAAGTGAGATGAGTTTTATTCTTATCACAGAAGTGATGTTAAGTTCTAGTCTTTGTAAAATGGTTTGAGATTTTTTTTAATGGATTTTTTTTTTTTTTTTTGTAATGGAAACTACCAAAACTTGTCTTAATAATAAGTTTTTTTCAAGAAGAAAAAGATATAATACAGGTTTAGATGTCTGACTCTTTACAGATCCAAGTACAAACATATGTTCACATTCTAATAGGGAGAAACTGCTAACTGTGCAATTCAGGACGCCTCTCCAAGACTTACTCAAAAGTGAGTGCCAGTTATTAGTGACAATTCTTATAGCCAGCATCTATTTACACATTGAGAGCTAAAATAAGCAACCCTAATAACTTCCTGTTGAAAAGGGGAAAGATAAAACAGCATTCAGGGCTTAAGTCACCACGGGGCTAAGTGGTCACAGTTTCATTAATTTCAGACAGGTTATACCAGTGATTAATTTTGAACGCTTGTCATCTGGTTAGTGTGTGCCTGTTTATACAAGATTGCGTTCTCACCTCTGCACTTAAGGGCTAGATAAATAAAGAGATGAAGTCGTTTGACCGACTTCATACAGGAAGTTCAGAGTAAAGGAAAAGGATTTGGTCTTAGTTGCTCATATTCATGGACCATTCTTCTTTGCTAAAATATAAAACCAACTAGTGAATGTGACCAAAAATTCATTTTCAGCACTGCCTGATTTGGAGAAACAAAACAAAAACAAACAAGCAAGCAAAAAACCCTCTTGTTGATGGTTGAGTAAGTGGCAAACTCACTGTATTTGTTTATTTTTCAGCTGGAAGTTATACAGACAATGATTTTTGGATGGATGAAGTACTTGTGTAAATTTGTCTAGTGGCAATTTTTTAATTCTTATTATACTTTATTATCAGATTTGTGCATGTATTTGGAAGTATAAAAGCAAATAAGGGGTTGTTCACCTGAAAGAAAAGGTGAATGAGGGCAAAAGGCAAATTAATTCTGTTTGTAAGAGTTAAATGGCGATTCATGTACCCCGAGGCAGGACCCATTACGCATGGGTCATTCTTAACCAATGTTCGTCTTGCATGTTTTAGAGCTTTGCAGTGATAAATAGTCTTTATTCTCTTATGGCAGTGTGTTCCACTGTCTTACTACTTCCATCTGAGAAATGATCCTGAATTTTGCTACAGATGATAGCAAAAAAAAAAAAAAAAAAAAAAAAAAGAACTTGTTGTTTAATGTGTTAATTTTGCTCTCATATTGTTCAGTGTACCCAAGTGTGGGTTTCAAACTTTTCTGGTATAAATTTCAAAGCTTATATGAAGTGCCTTATAATACACTCGGGAGACTAATCAGTGTTTGAGTAGCAAAAAAGAGCTTGTTGTACAAAAGTTTTCCTCAACTCTGTTTTCTAATAAAATATATTTATTTGCTTTCAGACAAACAGCTTGGGTTTGTCTAATGACCAAAGCATATTTTTATAGTAATGGTAAGTGTGGAAGAGTGAATTATGTCTGGCTCTGTATTCTCATCATTATGTGTTAAAGCTGTGAATAAGTAGTATGAGGCTTAGAAGTTGAAAATAACATGTGGAACTTCCTCCCTGAACTCGACTATTCTAGCTATTTATAAATGGAAAGATCATTGTGCCTTTAAATATCAGTGTCACTTGAGAAATATCATTTTACTGCCAGAAAGTGCCAAACCACTAAACTGTTGCTGCTCAGATATTTTTTGTAAATTAAGTAAAATTAGATAAACACTCCTGCTTCTGAGTACTTCCTGGAGGATACCAGTCTGAGCATGTTTGAAGAGACGAAACTTCTAAATCATGTATCTGACATGCGGAAGAAGAAAAATATTTAAGGTATTTTTACTCCTAGTCCGTTCTTACAAGGCAGAACATAGGAGAGACTGAACCCAATCAGGAGGATGTTAATGAGATTCTCTCATAGTGAGGCTAACCTGTAAGGGGATTGCACATCAGATTATCTTGTGATAAGATAAACCACTAATGAGTGCATGCTATGAGACAACACAACAGCTTTGTAATATTTCTTCTGCAGGAGTGTCAGGTTGGATAACGAAGTTGTACACACAAATTTCCTTTCCTCCTTTAGAGGCAGCCTTTTTGCAGCACGCCACCCATCACATCTTGTGCATATAGCACAAAGCAGGGAATAGCTCTCCTAGCTAGAAGTGGTCCGGCCTTGGGAGATGCAAATGAAATGCCTCCCCTTTTTGTCTGCTGCCCCCTCCTCCTGCAGCCAGCCGAGCGAGGGTCAGTGCAGCTTTAGCTGTTTGCCCATGTCCCTGGTTTTCCTCTTGGCTGGGGTGTGCTGGAGGCACTTGGAGCAGTCTGGCATTAACGTTGCCACTTGCCTCAGGGATGTTTTGCATTCCACATCAGTCAAAGAAGTGAATAGTTGTAGAAAAACCACACATTATACAGTATGAGTTGTGTTTCTTAATTGGGTGTTTCTTAATGGAATCTCCTGCCTATGTTCATCAGCTGCTTTGTATGACTTGTCCTTTCAAATGAAAGTTTCTTTTTCTCAAAAGAAACTCTTTTTCTCCTGTTTATTAGTTCTTGTAACAATGTAGTAAATATTGTCAGTTTTACTCCAAGGTAATAAACTGGTAAGAGTATATTGTGTGTAGCTTTATTGTGCTTGAATTGTGCCATGTAGCTACTGTACTAGGCTTTCTAGAGCTTCCCCTCCATTGCTATGCATCTTCATTGGTAAGTAAAAATACTTGTTCATTAAATAAAGTTAATATTCTTCCATGTATGCAGAAGCAAATTTGCAGTAATAACTTGAGGTGCACATTTTCATTTTTTTCTGGCCATTATAGTTTTTGCATCAGTCAATTTATAAAACATTTTTGTACCAGTACCAAACAAACTCTTCTTTCTAAAATTCTTACCTCACTGTGATCTACATTCTTATTTGTATACAACTTTTTTGTATGCACTGTGCCCTAAACTAGATTATGGCTGTTATTGAACAGCTTCTGACAGGGCCTAATGAATTCTCTTGAACCTTGCTGTACCATATCTTGAGGGAAAAAAGTCAACGCCTCGTGTTCAGTTTTCTTTTTGCTATCCCTGGGATATTTTCCAATAGATCAGCTGATTGACTGGTTATATCCTATGTGCTATAGATGGATTTTTTAGAAGAATATCAGACACAGAATATTTGGTTTGTCTTGGAGAATTTCACTTTTTCCTTTTGAATCATTTACATTTCTACAACTGAATTATAAAATCTGCAATTAGAAGCAGTCCTAAGGATTTTTGAAGACTGAATTCATAATTGTTTTATTGCAAAATTATTGAAAAGATTGGGTAGAATTAACTCAGAGAACCAATTTGAAATGCCCATTCAGTTTTGAGCTGATGGGAAGGCTACATTTTCAAAGAGGAATTGAAAGACTTAAGTTTATATAATTAATGTAGAATAATTAAGTGCTATGAGAATGAGAGAGGTAAAATACTATCTACAGCTTAGGAATTATATGAAGGCAGTAAACAGAAATTGAAAAAAGATTTGCCATGAGCTTTGTGAATGTTCAGACATCTTGTCTTTTCCTAGCAGACAGTGTGATGATCCTGATCTATGCTGTGAAATATTTTAGAGATAAGCAAATGGAATACAATACTAATAATTCAATAAACATTCCCCTCAAAACCCACCTTGTTTGCAGGAACCAAGTGTCAATATGAGATCTTTGTTTTTAGGCCTTCTTTAGACTTCCACTGTGCCAAGTCAGGACAGCTTCAAGTTCTTACCTTTTTAAAGAGAACAGGGCAAGCACTTGTTTTTAAGGTAATGTTTCTGTAATGAGACCTGACAGAAGCAAAGCAATGCAGTACTATATACACACACTGAAACTGAAAAAGTCTTGGAGGTTATGTGAAATGAGAGCACTGCAGAACATGGGCTTTTTTAATTTGAAATTGCACTACTTTCAACAGAAGTGAGTATCATAATATTTCTTTAATGTGTGTGCTATTTCACTACAAGCAAATAATATACAGTTTATTATAGAGCAAAATATTTTCCCTTTTATTTTGGATTTGTTATAACCATAGTGATTATAGCACAATATGTTAATGGTCTGTTAAATATAGTTCAAATCACCAATGTTTTAATTCTATTGTTTATAAATAAATGTTCCTACTTCTGCTTTTAGACAGAGCTAGATAGTGGTTCACACTCACAGGGTGTAGGTGCCCTTCTGTATCTACCTTGTGCCTTGGTGAAGTCAAAAGCAGATAGCAAGACTGAAACTGGGAAAAAAAGTTTAAAAGTTTGGATTTTTTTTAAAATTTATTTATTTATTTATTTCAAACCAGCTCTCTTTGGATGGATTGTAGAAGAGAAAGCCTTGTTTTAAGGGCTACTTCCATTCTCAGAAGCATAGAGTTTAAAACCAGACCCCAGGAAATGCTGATCTGCATTAGCTATGTATGTTTTCCAGTGTCTCAACAGGGAAGTGACTATCATTTTAACCAGATGTTAAAAGGAAATGATTTAGTATTTTCTATCAAAATATTAACTTCCTGTATAGAAAATGTCACTTGTCAAAAAGCATTTTTGCTTTGTTTTGTGCAACCTAATGGAAAACAGCAAGTTCAGATGTATTAAGGTTTCTGTTTTACCCGTGATTGCTATTTTCAATAAGAAGAAACGGTTATCTCTTGATAGACACAGGAGATTGGTATTAGGGCTTCTTGATTTTTGTTTTGTTGCTTCTGTTGAATTTCTGGTGTCTGTACTGGTACCTGGGATTCTTCCTCCCCAGGTACAGGACTTTATTTTTCCTGTTGTTGAACTTCATGGGATTCCCACTTGCCCATCTCTCCAGCCTTAAGGCCTCTCTGAAGGGCAGCGCAACCCTGTGCTGTGTATCAGCCATCCCTCCCAGGCTTGTATCATCTGCGGGCTTGCTGAGGGTACATCTGGTCCCAGCACCTCGTTAATGAAGATGTTAAACCATAGCGGCCCCAGTGTTGAGGCTGGGGGATGCCACAAGTGACTGGCCTGCAGCTGGGCTTCCTGCTGCTGATCAGTTCACCTCGCTGTCCGCTGTCCACGTGCTTCCACAGCTGCTCTGAGGACATTTTGAGTGACAGTGTGAAAAGCATTACTGAAGTTGAGATAAACAATATCCACTGCTCTCCCCTCTTCCATGAAGTTAGTAATCTCATCATCAAAGGCTCTCAGGTTGGTTAAGCCCGATTTTCAGCTTAAGTCCATGCTGACTACTCCTAATCACCTTCTTGTCCTTCATGTTTGGAAATGGTTGCTAGATTTACTTGCTGCATCGCCTTCCAGGGATCCAAGTGTGGCTGACTGGCCTGTAGTTCCCTGCACTTCCTTCTTGAAGACAGCAGTCATATTTGTATTCTTTTAGTCCTTGTAGCAGCTGTGGAAGTTGCATAGGAAAATAAATTTGGGAAAATATTTTTGGTAATCTTTAATGTAAATAATTTCCCTTTCATACACAGGAATATTTTTTCTTCTAAGGCATTTTTGTTTGCTTGCTTTTCTGCAATATGAATTCTAACAAGTAAAACGAGAGAGCATCTTGCATTTTAGTGTGTATGAATTCCATTTGTTTCAGTGTTAGGTGCTACAGTGTGAGATAGAAGAAAACCTGGTTAAGACAGGTTTTCTAAAATGCCTTTTTCCTTGAGAGAAAGGGTAGGAAGTTGTTTAAGGGTGCTTGTCTGAGCTCTTCCACAACACAAAGGTGCTCGGCAGTTTGGGGCTTTACTATTTAAAGCACATGAGATACATCTAATATGAGGTACATGGAACAGTATGTCATCAACATAGCTGGTAAGTTAAACAAGCGGGGTTGCTGTGCTTCTAAAAGCAAAAGGTAAACACAACTAAATCAAGTGTAACAGCCTTCCTAAAGAAACATGTAACTCCTGCTAAGTTACTTTTTTTTTTTTCTTTCCCTCTCCTCTTTTTCCCCTGTAAACATGAATCTAAGTGCAGTGTTGGCTAATGCTACATGTTTGCGAAAAGGGAAAGATGAACCCTGTTGTGAGTAGGTGGTGGATTAGGGTTTTTTCTAATTAACAAACCATCTGCTTCTGTGTATACTGAAGACTTGTTGAGTGTTTACTTGAAAATAAAGCGATAAATTGAGTCAATAAACAAGTTCCACTGGCATCTAATGCTTCTAACAGAATTAAGCTTATTTGCATATTGGAAATGATGAGTGACAGAATTGGAGGTTTTTCTGCTTTTATTCCTTGCTAGTCTATTTTTTCTTTCCCTAAGAAAGCTATGATCTTATGCAACAAGAATATTTGTGTTTTACCAATTGATGTATATGGGCTGGTACATCTTGTTCATCTCTCTGTTTTCTCTTGTTTTCTCAGTAACATTATAAGCATTGTTGTGAAGATCAAGGATATATTATTGGTCCTGTAATTGGAATCAGTAGTAATTAGATAAAAATACAAGTTTATAAATATTTTATTTGTAGGTGTAATTTGCTTTAAAATTGCAGTGGGGGAAATGGATTGCTCTTTTAAAGAATATCCCCATACTTTTATGCTATATTACTTGGCTATTGTATTTCTTTGTTGGCTGGAATTAGGCATGAGGTTACATATCCACCACAATATATAAATACATTTTCTGATTTTACATTTTAGGTCAAAAAATATTTGAAGAAAGATTAAATGGTTCGCCAAGTAACGCTCTAATGGATGACAGAGAATTTCCACCAAATGATCTACGAATAGACTCAAAGGACAGTCTGTCTGCTGACTGTAGGGTGGAAGGTTTGGCATCTCATTTGGTATCTTCATCTGATGAAAATGAGAATCAACTTGACCGTGATGGGAATGAGGTTTTAACTAGTAGTGACACTGCTATGGGAAGACAGAATGAGGGTGAGCAGGACAGCATCAATAACAATGAAAATACGGACAGTGGAGGCTGTGCCCCAAGCTGTAAGGAAAGCGAGACTGAGAGGAGATCTGTAAGTGTCCATGTGGAGCCCCAGCTGGAGAAAAAGCCAGCTACGGAAAAACAGGCGGGTGGAAAAAGAAGCCCAAGAAGCAAAAGAGGCTCCAGTAAAAAATCTAAAGGTACTTTCTAAAAAATTTGGCTTGTTGAGTTTGCTTCAGATAATCAAATCGTAGTTCTAATCTGTGAACTAATAAGAAATAGATATTTTAGTTGCCATGTTAACTGTTTGTAATCTTCATTAAAATACTGTTTTCAGAATTGTTAACAATTCTAAAGCAGATGAAATTTTAGATTTTCTCCATGTTTTTCAGTGTTTAAATTAGATGTGTAGGAAATGGAACATGCGAGGAGGCGAGACCAGAGAGAGGTGCACAGTTTCAATGTGGAAATTCTGCTAAATTCTGAATCATATAGGCCGGAAATACAGGCAATATGTTTGATCATTTGAGTGCTCGCTGCAAGATAATTTTGGTGTGTGGTTTCAGTGTCAAGATTTGAAGTGTTGGCATCAGCACCAAATATCTTGATCTTGGCCTGCTGCCATGATCGTTAGTTTCTTTCAAAGCTGAATGCCTAGTGCGGGGATTTATATTTTGAGTAATGTGTTCAACAAATGTGCATCTGCACATTTTTAATATTACTTCTCCTTTAGGTGTTTCAAATTGGATAAGGAAAATAGGCATATGTAATAAATATTCATATTTGAGATGCCCCTTTCCTTTGTAGATCAAGAGGATACATTTGCTTCAACACAGCATCTTACTATATTGGGTGCCGTAGACCATAAGACATATGTGTTATAGCACTGCAAATGTATGAATTGAAATGGGTGTCTCATCCTTCTGGTTTCTTCCAAGGTTACAGAGAGCCATTGAATCGTACCTGTTTAGAAAACCAGAAATATACATTTCAGCAAGAGATTTAATATTTAAAAAACAGAATATTTAATTAAATTTAATATTTAATTAAAACAGAGTGATTGGAATAAGTAATTGAGCAACAGTCATTTGTGATGAGAATAACAGAAGACAAGTTGCTAAAATATAATAAGGATTTGTAAACAGAAGTATCTGAGGTATAGTGTAATAACAAGAAAGGCAGAAATATAACTGAAAACTGGAAGTTGTTGTCCATATTATTTCTTCCTTAACTTGTATTCTTGTTGATAAATGCAATCAAATGATGCAAACATACCACAAAAGCAGCTGCACTCAATAGCTGGCAATTTTTAGGCAAAAAGTAGAAAGTGAAAAAATATATTTAAAGGAAAAAAAAAAAAAAGTCCAGAGACCTAAAAATACCGTGTCAGAGAGAATGGCAGTATCTGACTTGGAGCATGACAGAACTCTGCGAAGTTAAAAATTGTTTGGTGGGATGAAATACTGAATCCAAACGAACAAGCCCTGTTCCATTATGACCTTGGCAGTTCCTGAGTGTCTGCATACAATACTTGGAATCCTTTTACTAACTTCTACCAGCTTCAATACAATAACGGTAGTGATACATGAAGTGTCATCTGCTTAAAATACACATTTATAAAGCCAGAACTCAAATTATCCTTGTTTTCTGAAAATAAATTCAACTTCTTTCCCCCCAAATGATCAGTTCTGACATAATGTTGTGAAATCATGCTGTGCAATTCACCCGTATAGCACGATGGCTGCCCCTTGGTCATTTTTCCTCAAGTTAAATTCTGCCCCATATACTTTTACTGTAAATTATTCAACTACTTTCTGGGCTAGCTTGAGGATAACGAGGAAGGAGAAGTGGTTATAACGTGTTTAGGTGTTGCAACGATGAACATAAATGAGTCAAACTGAGGAAAAAAAAAAAAAAATCAGCCTATCTAATTCTGTTTAAGGTTCTGTGCTGCCCCAAACAAGATCTGGAGCTTGGTCTGCTAGAGATACCTCTAACCATCTGTATCTCTTTTCCCCTTCCCCCTCCCCAAGACAGTTTTGTCTCAAAAATTACATATTTTTGAAATATTTGTTGGTCCTTTTTTCCCTTAAAAAAATAGTTCTGGAGTGAATCAGTCTTAATCAGCTTTCTGCTATTAAAACTTTTTTTTTAATTACACACTTTCTGTACCAGCAGATTGGGTGGGAAGACTAGACTGCTGTTATTCAATATAGTAATTAAAATTCAAATAGAAAACAGAGAACAAAATCCATGGTTTTTATTTCATAGCAGTTATTGCTATTAACCTCTGACTCATTCCCAGGCGGGGAGCAAGGGCACCTTAATTTCATATTACCTGAGGCACAGACCAAGCAACAAAAAAAGAAGCACTTAGAAATGCATTTGTCCTGGTTTTATTCATACGTTCAGCTTGTCAAAATGGGAACTTCTCACAAGTGTGGGGCTGCTCCAGTGTAACTCTTAAGAAAACTTAATTCCATGTCATAGGAATTATTAACATACCAGGTGGGCATCAAAACATTGTTGAAACCTCTACTGTAAATCTGGCTGCGCAGTGACTTGACCTGAGGTCTCTGCTGTGTTTTCAGTGAGTGGTGCAACCATTGGATAGTTGTTATGTGGTGCAACCATTGGATAGTTGTTATCTTCTGGTATTTTTTTCAAATTTATTTTCATTAAAGGCTTTGGTCCCTTTCTGGTATGGAACATGCTACATGCTCTAGGTGTCCCTGCTGGAGCAGGAGGGAAGGTTGGACTAGGTGATCTCTAGAGGTCCCTTCCAACCTCAACCATTCTGTGAACAAGAAGACTTTCTATATAATATCGTGCGAAGTGGGTGAGGGGCAAAAACAGTCTTGACTTTTAAAATGTGAGAGGGGGAAAAAAGCATGGAACACCTGCCTTTAATGAAAAATAACCTGCTGTTACAGTAAAATTGAAGAACTCCAGAAGAATGCGGTGCTGCGCACCCCTTTTCTGTTAGAAACAAAGAAGAACAGGCAAGTAGAAGAACAAAATGGAGGGATCTTAGCTGCTAACACCTTTAATGAAATAGCGTTGCTAAGTGTTACTGCCTCAAGAAAAGTTCCAGCTTGCAATACTGCTAAGGAGCAGCTGCTCTCTTCAGGTTAAAATAAAACCAGGTAGAAGTAGCTTGAATGCCTGTAAAGTGTTGCTTGAGAATTAATGGAGTAAATAGAAGGCAGAATTTGTTCCAGGTGAGTCACAGCACAGCTGTATATAGGCATAAAATTCAGTGTATAAACTACTAGCTAGCAACAATACCACAACAATACTAAAATGCAGGCTTCCATGGTACTTGCTACTGAGAATGTTTCAAACAATACTCATATTTTGATGTTGCAGATGATTAACTGCTTGATATAGTCAAGTTTGAAGAGAGGTGTCTTTCTGAGGCAAAAGGTTTGCCAAAGGATTTGGATCCTCCTTTCTGACTTCATGAACAAATACTGGCAAAGCAGGGACATAAATTGGTAGTGGAAAAGCAATGTTAAGCTACACCCATCCTTTGGTCTGCCAATACAAGCAGCAAAAACAAAAAGCAAAGCAAAAACTAGTGCAACTACAGGTGCTCCTGTTCTGCAAAGCTTATTTAATAAAGAATTTATAAGAAGGGAAGGTAATAGTGGAGTTCTCAGCTGACACATGAAGACCTTTCTTGAGCCCTAAATCCTAACCCTGAACCATCGCTTTAGGGCTTCAGTTGAAAGGAACACAGAGTTTGGGAAATGTGCTCACTGCACCCTCTGTGCCGAGCGCCCAAGCTGCAGGAACAGAGGCAGAACGTGCCTACAGAAGGAGCTAGCCATAGCTTAGCCCAAACAGTGCCCCCACGTGTCCCGCTTTTGGTGGGGAGCAGGTTTTTTAGGAAATGGGCTTCATTCGGGAAAGCAGACATGCTCATTGCACCTTGAATTTACAAAGTTCCCTGCGTGCATTTTGGTGTTCTTGAGTTTATATCACCTATGCAGGTTGTTTTGCTGAATGCAGTCAAAATTTTTAAGTTAATTTAAACAAATATGAAATTCCAGAAAATATATTTGATAGGATTAAAAATAGCTGTGGTTTTACTCTTGTTTTGATTTGTCTGTATTTACTTCTTTCTTATGCTTTACTTGTACCAGTATGATGTACAGGTTTGAGATTTTAATTAAATCCAGTGGAATATTGCTCTTTTATATTGACAGAGCTCAGAATTTATCTTGTGGAAATGTGAAAAGTTTTTTTTCTCCTGTTGGAGGTAACTTTCCCAATTGCTTGCAACATGGAAGTTGTTTATTCAAGAGCAAGAAGCTCTTGAAATGAGAATGTGCTGCTTATTTCCATAATAAACAAGATGTGTTTTATGCAGAAGGATTTTATCCACGTCAATACAGAGTGAACTTTTTTTTCCCTCCTGTTGTGATTTCTACTAATCAAGTAATGTCAGATTTGGACAACAGTCTGTTCAGTTTATGCTGTCTGTGCTAATCTTACAGGTCTTAATCATATCTCAAATTGTTCTTCTGCAGACAGAGCCTAGAGCTCGGTGTCGTTTGCACAATTTGAGCTTTCACTGACTAACAGTGGCTCACAGAAGGAAGTGAAGATGCCAAATAGAAATTGTCCCCATCAATCCTTGGAGAACCCCACCACTGACCTTTATCTATCCCGAAAAAATGTTCTTTAAGCCTTACCTTCCAATCTTTCCAGAACGTCTCCTTCAGTCCTTTGTCAGCCTACTTTCTTTAATAGGTGCGGGAGGAATGTTTTCCAAGGCTTTCTTGGACCTTCCCTTTATCCACAGGTTTTATTGGCTGCCCAGCAGGTTAGTGCAGCTGGTTCTACCTTCACAGGAGCTGGGCTGGCTTCACGTCCTTGGTCAGTGTTTCATGTGCTCTGTGATCCTGCATACTGCCGCCTCCAGGCACTTCCTGGCAATGGAAGGCAGCCTTCCAAGCCTGGAGTCCCCAGGATTTCTTCTAGAGCCACTTTTTGGAGATGGGCTGCCCTAGTGATCCCTCAGTCCCCAGGCAGCCCTTTGTGATAATGGGTTGCACGGTCGGCCAGCGATTTTACAGGCAAGAATTATCTGTGTTGTGGTCCGGCTTGGTCCGTAGTTCTGTGCTACCTATGGTGAAATCCAGAGGGACACCATTCTGGTGGGTCCTAAGACAGTATAGTGGGAAGGTGCCATTTACTGTTTTCAAATCTTTGATTTCCCTCATTCTCATGAGATGCTCCTCCTCCACTACCTACCATTCACATCTTCCTTAATCTCACCAAATGTTTCCTCGTGACTGTCACGTGAGCAGCAATATGCTAAGGAAGGAATCCTACATTTCTTGCAGTAAAGTGTAGTAAACCCATAAAGTCTTGCCTGCAAAATTTTTATGCTGTTACATTTTATATTATCCTTCATGTGAACTGCCAGTTCTCCACATGCATGTTCCACCTTCGCACTTCTATAGAAGTGGCAGAGTGGCAACAGTGGATTGGTAGGGAATTAACTGGGCACGTGCCAGGTTTTGGCCTAGCAAGTCATTCTGGAACCTACATTGAGTTTTTGCACTTTCCTGTGTCATTGGTACCAACTTGGGCCACCACTGCTGGCTTTTCCTCCGGGCTCGCAAGTAAGCTATGCAGATGTCTAAAAGGGTTTCGATTTGCACTCAGCTCAAGAGTTACCGCGTTGTCCTCCTGGCTTCTATCTGTGTGTGCCATAAAAGAAGCTCCTACTATCACCATCTGCTTCTTTCTGTCCTCCAACATCCTCTTTTCACTGTAAGGAAGCACTGTGCTATCAGCCTAGGTCGTCCTTTCCAGCAGGACCTTTCCTTCACTGGTATTTTTTGAGATCCTTGGCACAAGAGCCCGTTTCTGTTCTCGCATATTTGAGGCAGCTGCTTGGTAAATCCTCAGGCCAGTTTGACCCAGCAAACTCCTGGAGTACGTGGTCACCACTGCAATAACATCTGCTGATAACACAAACAGCTCCCTGCCTTTGTGGAGTCCACTCTTCTTTCTGTTCTTCTTCAGGCCTTTTGTGAGCCCAGCTGCACTGTGAGCAGCCCTGCTTGCTGTCTCTGTTGCATGAAAAATCACAGGTTTTATGGGGAGTTCTGTCCACTATGACCTGAATTTTAAGTATTGGTTTTAAGTGATGAAAATAATATTGGTCACAACTGTTTATTTTTGGTCAGCTTGGTCTGTTATAATTCTGTAGAAGAACACTTCAGTGTTTTTTGGATTTTTTAAGTCAAAGTTGGAACAGAAATGTGCAAAAAGAGCTGATCTTAGTGTGTTTTTTTTCAGGTAGGTGAGCTGAGATTGAGACAAATGTGTTAAAACTCATCTTGACAGAACCAATATTTTGTCCATTTACCAGAATGTTATTTAATACAAGCTCTTATTTAAGGCTTTTGTATTGAAAAATTCCTGGAAATTTAAGTTGATGTGTTTATGAATCCTAACCTGAGTACTTGATCTTTTAAAAGGAGCTCCTTCAGTGGGAACCACAGCAGTTAAGGAGGAAAACACTCTTGTTCCAGACCCTGTGTGTGCTGAAGGTGCCCATGAGGCAAATGAAGACTCTTGTCAGCAAGAACAAAAGCAAACATTGCCGTCCCTCTTCTCTTTGCTCCGTGAAGAGGTTGAGCAGATGGATTCAAAGATACTGCCTCTGTGCCTCCATCAGGTACTTGCTATACATCTCTGTTGTTGCACTAACTTTGTTGTTATTTGAGGTCATTTTTTTTCATTAGGAAAAAAAAGAAGCCTTATTTAAACATAAAGTAATGTCCATATCTAGACAGGCAGTTTGGGTATATAACGGATGGTGAAGGCACATTTCTCCTCTAAGGTTCTCTAATGCATATTAAAACTAAAAATTTCCTTGAAATCATAGTCTGCAGTAAAAAGAAACCCTTAAAGATAGGTTTCCTATGAGATATAATATATTTTGAAACAGATTTTTCTTGTCCATGGAAGAATTTTGCCAGATTTTTTTTTTTCCCAAATGATGAAATTTTGGAGTGTGGCAGGAAAACTTAGGTAAATGGCTTAGGTGTATATGATTTCTGGACGTTTGTATAAAGACAAGACAACTGGTGGCTAGACTGCATTTTAAATCTGGATTTATCTTTACTGTTGCATATTGTTTCTAGCACAAATTTAAGGCGCAAGATATCTTAGTGTATACACTTTTATAGTACAGTCACCATCTCTGTAAGAAAAAAAAGAAGTCCAATAGGATTTGAAAAGCATTCTCTTTTTACTAACTTGACAAGTGTATTTTTCTTTCTGGAAACTGTGACACAAGATGGATAGTGGATTAGACTTCTTGCTCTGTTAACAGATAATTCAGTCATGTGAGACTAACACTGGCGCAGAAGACTTCTTGTTTGGCTATAGTGTCTAGTATAGGTTATTTGATGTGACAAAGTTGTCTTATTTTTACTGGGAAAAAAAATGGATGACTGTTTAAACTTTTTTTTCATTTGAAAATTTGTGTTTGAGTGAAGTTATTTCCTACTGTTCCTTAATTTATTTGAAATTTAGCATTAAGGTCGATCAACTGCATTTGTAACCAGGTCATATTTGGTGGTCACTCATGAGTCAGTACAGAGGTCCATGTGGGAAGACAGTGCAGTTCATACAAGAGTCTGGAAATGCTTTACAAATCTTAAGAAAGATCATCACCACTTTAGAGGTGAAATCTGTTTGCTGCTGTACAGCTGAGGAAGCCAAACCACAAAAGGAACAACTTTTTTTGAGGTCATACGGGAACTGAAAATAGAATGTGGATTCCCAAATTCAAAAACATTGAAAAAGCATCACTTTTTTTTTTTTTTTTCTAAAAATATTATGGAATTTCTAAGGGAATGTTTGGAAGAAAGCTAACAGGACTTAAAAGGATCAGAGAATACACTTTAATCCAGAAAAAAATGCAAGATGTGAAAGATAATATTCATTATTTCACATGAAATTAATTCTAGCAAGAGCTTTTTTTTTTCCTTCCCAGTGGGTTAACTTGTCACCTTCAGTCTTATCTCAGGTTGCTAATACAACTTGCCAGTAACCTACTTTTATGTTGTCTTACAAATATTCTTCTGTCATGTTTTGATCTTTTTTTTTTCTGTGTAAGTTAATGCAGTGTAAAATCAAGAGCTGTGTCAAATATTCTGTGCTATTAACAGTCAGCATTGTTAATGAGAAACCTGCATTAAATGGTTAAAGGTTGTTATGGACTGTCCTAGGGTTATCTTTGAATTAAAATATGATGTAACTTTTTTTTTCCAGTCTTGCATGAGATCCATGTGATTTGTTTCGCATTTATATATTACGGATTCTTAAAAGCATTTATATATAAACATAGGTGCAGAGCTTTTTTGGCAGCTCCAGGAAAAAAAGAAGTCACTTAACTAATTTTCTTTTGGGAGGTGCTGGACTCAGAATGGTCTTGTGATAGGTAATAATATTGAAAGTCAGCAACACCCAACTTTTTAATCTTGCCTGCTCTAGGAAATTGCTGTCTTTGAGCAATCAACTTGGATATTTTTGCAAAACTGCCCATTTATTGTTAAGACCTTCAAGTTTTGGGTGCCTAAATCGATGTGGTCAGAAGACGAGGAAATGTCTCAACCTGAAGGTTCGGGGGTCTCAGCTCTCTGCAGCTACCAGCTGCTTTTTGCCAGCGTGGCCCTACTGCACCGTGTACAGCCCATAGGAACATTGGCAATACTCTGTGTTGCCAAGATTGCACAGTTAATGCTTGTCAAGGTCTGTGATGCCGTGAAAAAGTTCTGTAAGACAAAACGTTTGCATTTCCGAGGTTTATATTCTTTGTGTCTTATTCTGTTTACAAACAAAGCTTCTGTATTCCTCAGCTCCCTGGGAAAGTTTGCCCACCTTTCCGACAAGCACAAAAAAGTTCTTGTTGCAAATCTCAAAGATTATTCCTCAAAAGGGAGGAATGGAAGTCAGACGTTTCCATTGTTGTGTTAGCTTTTCCCTACAGTGTTATACCCTTTAGTTTCCAGTAACCAGCTGTATCTTTTCTGTAATACTCCCTACCATCAGCTCGAAAGTCGAAGTTCTGTTTTAGTTAGAAATGTGCTCATTTTCTGACTATCTTTGGATGCCTATGTTCTCTGGGATGGTTACATGGACTGTAGTACAATGATGTCTTTGCCCTTCAAATCAAGGGATAATTCTTTGTGCCAGTCCTGATTTAAAAAAAAATAAAATAAAAAAAGAGAGAACAACTTGATCGATGCAAAGGGATTTTCCTATCTTGGAACACAGATTTTTCTGTTCTGCAGCTTCCAGGCTTGCAATTTTGACTTTCAAGAGCTGGTTGAAAGCAAAGCACCACTAGGGAAGGGTAGTATTGCTATAGTAGCCTGCAATTAAAATATGTAGTTTTGGTAACTTGGTATACCGCAAGAGTTTTATTTCTATCGGCATGCCCAAGGTGTTCTTATGGAAAGCTTTTCACAGTACTTTGGAGCAGCCTCCTGAAAGGAAGTCGCAGGAGGCTGCTTGAACAGTGTTGCCCTGATCCAGCAGCTGGGCTCCGAGGAGCACAATTTAAGTGCAAATATTGCTACTTTTTGTAAGCCTCGCAGTATCTGTTGGGAGATATCCTCATCCTGTGACTTACGTGAAGGTCTGTTCTGTAATTTTAAGCAAACTTCTGCCTTGATGGCTTCAAGATTGTAATCTCAGGCATATGACTGGAGTGCAACTAGGGAGTTACACCTGAGCAAATTAAATGAGTCTCTTTAAGAAGAAAAATGGTCCTACTCAGCCATGATTTTACTTCTTCCAGACATGAGGGGAGAAGTGGTCAGTAGTACAATGAAAGTGGGCAGTAATAGAACACAAGCTCTTAGATCCACCTCATTTTCAATGATCATGATACTTCTGTTCTAGGTCCTTCTAAAAGTAGTATCACTCCAAAAAATTACTAAAATATATGTTGCTATAGCAAGATAAAAACTATTATTTAGCTAAATCTATTTGTGTGAACTTACAGTTTTTATCTTGTTTGGTTTTCTTTTGGACATCTTTCCTGCTCTAAGGATATATGCATTTAGTCTGAACATTTGATTTTTATCCAAACTAAATATGAATCTGCGAAACAGATACTTAAAATGAATGCTATTATGCTGTTGTCACGATCATAAAAATTAGAGAATCCTAATTTTTCTCTTTTTTTTCATTTACAGATAGCTGAGACCTATTTTCAAGAGGAAGAATGTATCCTTTTGCTTGTAAAAATTATTATGGATTGTTAAAACAATCTGGAATGATAAAACAGAGAAAATATGAGCTAAATATGGAATATGAGTTAAATAGCAAATGGCACTTTCAAAAGCTGTGCTGATATAATCGTATACAAACACGGAAGTAGGAAAATATTTTCAAAGAACATGATCCATAGGAAAAAATCTGCTTTAACAATTAGTGACCAGGAATACATCCAATCTAGATAAGATATGTTCTGTTTTGTGTAAAATAGAACACCATTATAGCAGGAGCATCATTATGATTGCTATGGCTTTGAATATGTATTATCAGTGTCTAGCTTAGAATAAAAATACCAAATACTCTCAGCTAAGAGAGAAGAGCAGCATGTTCTCTGTCCTTGGCTTATTAGGCAGTTGTCACTTCAAGATGCTTTGAGAATCGGTCACAGGAAACCAGGAGTAATTGCTTCTGGAACAGCTAGTTCAGTGGCACAGATAGGTTGTTTTGATTTGTTCTGAGATAATGCAAACAAAAAGTTACAGTACTTGAGCTGCTAATAATTACTCTGATATATTTCAGCATTTCTGGAAGAGAATGATCATATTAAACTGTAAAGTGTAACTGTTTTTAGAAAAGGTAGAAGCAAATTTTGCTGTGTTTGCTTTTGAGGGAAACTAGAAGAAGGGTAAAAAGAAGAAAGAATGCTAGTCTTTAAGGTAGATGTGTTTCACTAAAGTACATCATAAATAAAAAAATACATTTACAGATTATTTGTCCATTGTTTCATTTGTGGCCTTAGTAAAAACAAATAAATAGGAGTAAATAGGGAATAATGGAGGTTAAATAACAGCATAAGAAACTCTGAAAGGTATGCTTCTGAAAACTGAAATCCGTCCAAGTTATATTACAAGAAAGAGAAATAACTGTGGCATTGTGATAGAAGCAATGTATAAAATAAGGTATCTATCACAGCCTTAAAAGATTGTGCTTCTGTTTTGGTCATCCCAAAAAACATCCATCAGAAAACATGAAGAGTGTAATTTAAATGAGAGGAATAGAAAGTTTTTGTGCTGAAACATGGCTCTACATGAGGAAATACAGTAGATTTAAATTCTATTCAAAAAATGGTAGGCAGACAGCTTCTCTTTCATAGAAATGGCTTTAATTGAAGGGCACTACATTTAAAACTGATCAAAGGAATTATTTTTTGATGCAATACACACCTGATGGGTGGAATTTAACACTACTATATAGTACATATTAATGAAGGATAACTACTCTGTGCTTCCAACCATCAGTTTCCTGAGGTTAAAATACAACCTATTTGATCTTTTTGCATTTTACTAATTATCTATGACAAGCATTTTAATTCATCCACTGTAGAAATTCATATTAACAATAATTTGGGGATTGTTACTGTGATCCTCCAAGGCTGTATCTGTGATTGCTAAATCTTTTTTCTAATAATGGATTTCCCGAAGGCAGAAGAAATATTCTTTCCATTCATATTGCTGTTTATAAACTGTGCTACATACATGAGGTTAGCGTGAGGCTAACAAAAACAACAAGTACTACTTGTGTTTTTGTACGAATTACTCCCATATGTTAATTATTATAAATAATGGAGAAAAAATGTACGTTACTAAGAACTTTGTTCACTGTAGTTTTATCCCCCCTGTAATACAGAATTATATTTGAAATGGATGGCAAAACACACCTTTACATAGAACAACTAACACCTTAATTTTGGTGGCATAATCTTAATAAAAAAAAACAAAATGTGAACTCAGCTTTCAACAAATTTTATGTACAACAGTTGAAAAAGTATCTTGTGAAATTTTGAAAGGAAAATTTGGTTTTAATGTCTCCAACTGATAAGTAAAAAGCCATATTTTCAATTAGTTGCCATTATTGACATATAATTGTTCTTCTTGATAGATATACTCTAGTATTACTATCTTTTCATTTCATTTCCAAGAGATTTCATTTTCAGGAAAATATATATATATATATTTCCACAGTAACATCCTGCTGGTTTCTCTTCTGGAAGATTAACACCATTAGGCTCAAATTATGTGGGAAGAGGTAGCTGCTGAAGACAGTAGGCTCTGCACTTTTGGAACTTTATTCAACTTCTGTTGTTTGCTGCGTTCATACCTGCTATTGCTTCTTTTTGCCTGCCCAGAAGTCTGGATGCTAGCCATAAGTTTGTTCCTATTTATTTTGGTTCAGTTACATTATGATTGTCCTTTCAAATATGATGTCAAATAGAAGTAAATCGTAATATGCCTGTATGTGTGTGTGTATTTTTCTTTAACCTTTCACTCAGACGAGAAGGCCATGAAATTCATCCAGCTCGAACGGCTGTACCATGAGCAGCTGCTTGCAAATCTTTCTTCCATACAGGAGCAGTGGGGTGAGTACAGGCTGGACTAATATGGTAGAAGGAAGAGTTAACTAGTTCTGTATTTCTGCATAATAGAGCATACATTTTGCCAGCTTAAAACTGTTGCAAAGCAGAAGTAGCGTTTATATCAGAATTTCTCTGGGCTTGTTAGGAGAAAAGTATTTGTTCTCTGTGTTCCTTTCTTTGGGTTTCGTGAAAAGGTACAAACAGTCAATCATTCTTTATGCTAATTAGTTGAGATTTTGATCGATCCACAGTTATTTTGTACTTATATTTTAGGGTTAGTGAATCTGGTGTGAGGAAAATAAACTGCACTGTAACAAAATATCATACTTTTTTTCATAGTCTGATATAAGATTATGGAGCAAGCACAGAAGAGCTGTTGGTATTTTTTAATTTCTTGTTTTAAGAAGTTTTTAAGAGTTGTTTTTTTAGGAGTTTTAACTTGTGAAATTTTAGGTTCAGTAATAAATTTAAAATACTTCAGGTAAAAATGTTCTTTGATTAAATTTAGAAAGAAAATGGAAAGCAACAGTTCCCGGTCCAGTTACAGCAGTGAGGAATTCAGCTAAAGAGCTGAGCAGTGAAGAGTTGGAAAAGCTTACCAGAGTTTGTTCTTCACATCAACAGTAAGTACAAGAAAATATTACTGCTTTACTGTTACTAGTAAGGGAGCTTACCTGTTGCCTACTTACTAGAATAGTTGTCTTAAAATAGTTGATCCCAAAATACAAGTTGCATCCCACTGACTTCGGTCAGTGTAACTATAAGGCACGTGCTGGTTTTGATGTATAGTAACAATGTTTCAGTTAACATCACTTTTTACAGTGAATTAATAGTGTTCGAGGAATTTACAAGGACTAGAGCTGAACTAATTTTCAGCAAATTGTTATTTTGCCCAAAAATGAGTTAGTTTGATTAGTTAGTTAGTGTGATTCAGCAGCCTCCTGCCCCTTTATCACGTTATAGGAAACTTCTGGGCAGGGCTGAGGGGGCTCCTCTGGGCAGTGACAGCCATGGGCTTGGCCCATGAGGCAGGACAAGTGCTCTGGGTTCAGATCATGGGCAGATGCCCCATATCCTGGATATTGGAGTGTTAGGGACAGAGGAAAAACAAGTACTATCTGCTTCTATTGGCCAGGAATAATGAGGAATCTAATCACATGTAGAGGCTGTTAAAAGACTCACCCGTGACAGGGAGATGCCAATCAGATGAGGAGAGAGAAAATTTTCAAATACATTTGCGTTCTCCCAATTCTTCCATGTAGCTTTGAAATACAATAATTCTCATTTAAATACAATAATTCAGTTATGTAGCATTATTCTTCTGTGGAAGCTTGCAATCTGCTCAAAATTAAGGACTGTGCTTGTTTGCCTTGACTAATGCTCTGTGTTTATTATTGCTCTTCCCAAACTCCCTGGATTTAGCCCCAAGTCTGTTTGCTTTCATTGTTTAGTGTTCTTTTTTCTAAGCTTTAGACCCAATTTACTTTGTAATTAAAGCAGTACTTCCATTGTAAATAAGTAATGAGAGTCTTGGTAAATGAGAGCATTTTGCTTTTGTGACTGAAAGCAGTGTAAGTTTTTCTGGTGCTCACGGTCTGCAGCTACACAGTAGGAACTGTTACTTTAAAGGAAGATTTGGGAGTTTCGCATTTAAAGTTTAAAGTGCAAAATCTAAAAGTCAGTGCAAGTTTTAAAAGTTTATGGTAGGAAGTGTGAGTATCTTTTCACTCTTTTATTTCTTTACTTTCTCTTGAGACCTTTTTCTAGCAACTTCCTGCAAAATGCTCAGAATTTTCTCTTCATTCCTATATGAAAGGCTGCAAGACACACTGTGCATGATAGAACAGATTGTGCATGAATTTTACACAATTTGCAAAGTCCACAGGGATTACTAGAGGTGATGTGAATCCCAGTGGACTCGGTGAGAACTATTAAATCTTTCAATGCCCAGAAAATGTGGCATAAATAGTCCATGGGAAGGGAAGTAAGTATTTCTTTTCTCCCTGGATCTCTCACATATTAATCAGCATTTTTAATACTAATAGATACTGTGCATTTACATCATTTTTAAAGTTGGTAGCACTCCTTTTAGCATAAGCTTTTACAGGAATTCGGATCATTTGCTGAGCTACGGTAACTTCTTTTTAAGTGCTTACTCACTTAGGTGGAACAATATTTGTGCTAATTGGTCTTCTGCTGATACTCACATACAGTACAGATCTGTGCTTGAAACTGCTAGCTTGCTGATCGTGTTTCAGTGTTAGAAATGTTCAGTGCTAATATTAGATCAAAAAAAAGACTAATGTGATTTGAATCATTGTTTTGCTGATGTTTTTTATGAAGAATGTCATTACTGAGTAGTTTATATTTATTTTCTTTATTATTGCAGGCCACTTGCATGCAAACATAAGGTAAGAAGCTCTTTATGTGAACTGCTTTTTTGAAGATTACTCATAAGTATTTTTTTAATATCATTAAATACATTTTTTTTTGTATATCATAGTATCATAGTATACATAGTATAGCATAGAAAATTTTTGAAGCTTGGATATCTCAACTGTAGAATTCATGGGTAAGTCCAGAACTTATAGGAAATACTGTTTATTTTACAGCTAGTAGCTGCAGAAAATACATGGGAAAGCAGTCGTTTCCTCCAGTTAACGGGATCCGAACGTTTAAAGGAAAGAGAAACTGCAGCTTTTAAATCAGGTATATGTGTGTACAAGTATTTGCTTTAAGAATTTTACTGTAATATATATTCTTAGAAATACCGTGAAGCTATTCCATCTGAAACTACAGTATTTACGTTGAATTCCTACAGATTCATCTCTTTTTGTAGATTTTAATTTTCATTTGCAACAATTTTCATTAGTCATTGGTTTTCAGAACTATAACTAAAATAATCTTACCCTCCATTGGAAAAGTTGCTTTTAAATGAGCATGTGGGTACCAAACTATGTTTAAGCTAGATATAAGACACAATCTCATGATAAATGCTCTGAGTTGTGGCCGCTGAATATTGTTAAGAGTATTAAGAACGATTGTGTTTTAATTACAGATGATGTGGTCACATTTTTCTGTAACAGCACAGAAAAAAAAAATTCAAGACTTAAAGAGAAAAATGTGCTTACTTTTTTCTTTTTCCTGAAAATTTTTATGTTATCTTATTTTTTCTCCTGTTTTGCTATAGTAGCTGTTGGGGTAATGTGTGCTTCAATTGTTGGGTTCTTGTGGGATGCTTACAAATGAATTGTTGAAGTGCAGACAGAGGTGGAAAGAGAAGTGATAGACAACTTGTCTATGGTTTGTTTGTCCTCTCCTTGAGCAAAGGTTTTCTTTTCTTAGTCATGTCCCCGTTGCCAAATATTGCCTACCTGAGCACCTTTCCATCAAAGCATCTAGACTTTCACACAAGATAATAAGGGTTAGCTGGGTGGCCTGGGTGACTTCCAGGGGTCTCTTTCGACCTAAATTACCCTGTAACCATCTGTCAGCCAGAATATTTAGAAGAATCAGGAGCTAATGAAGAAAGGGAATCACAGTTCTCATTACATGCACAATCTCCACATCTTCATCCTCTTTTACCATAACCTGTACACTCCCTTTGCTCTACTTTGTTCTCATAAAGCAGCTAAGTAAAAGTAAAACATTAGAAGTAAAACATTAGAGTCTAAGACTTAGAAAGCAGATCAGAAGAACTTTATGTTTATTAAATTTAGATAGTAGAAGAAGTAACATGAAAAAAAATCTGTTGCTTACATTTTTTATTGGCTTTGTGGCATATGGGAACAAAACATTTGGAAGCTGTGAGTTCAGGAGCATTTTGTGTTGATGTTTAAAAAAAAACAGTATGACATTTTGACATAGTAAAATCACTTTGACAATAAATCATGATTTACATCAAGGCTGTTCCATACTGTAAATCTTGTTGAATTGCCATCAAAATAATTGGGTTCCTTTAAAATGTTTGGAAGTTAATGAAGCTGCATTCATCAGCAGAAAGCTGTTCTGCTAGGAATTTCCGTGCAGTGCTAAGCGTTTACTTTTTCGATACAAATAGATGTAGCCCAAATCAAGATTGAATGCTTAATATGGGCAAAAGATGTTTTAAATGAGATTAACATGTTCTTGAGGAACCAAACTCTGGATGAGTTTAGAAGAAACTTCTATATGGATATGTATACAGCACTTGGGGCTATGCAAAAAGTAGCCAATTTTGTGGCTGAGTAATCCAGCCCAGACCTAGAAGCAGTGTGGCTGTTTTGGACAGGTTCACTGTTTCATCTGAGCTTATTAATCACAGCACAATCCTAGGCTAATATTTAAACTAACTTATTCAGCATTAACTCTTTTTTATTATGTGTTGTTGTAAGAGTCTTTGATTGTGCTGTATAAAATTACTATGCTTTTTTTTTTTTTCATCCCCCACGTTGTGAAAAATGAGATGTAAATATGTAAACACTTATTTCTTCTCTTCGAGAAATGTCTAGGGACTTGCTGAGAAATTACCTGTTCCTTGTTTTCTTTGGGGTCATATGGGAATTCTTTCTAAATGGAGAAGAGGCATGAGGACCGAGGAATGTGAATTCTCTACTGGCGCAGTGCCCTAGGTCTGCACCATCTCTGCTGGACTGAACAAGTAGCAATAGAACTCACTGCCTACACCTCTGGAGATGTGTGACACTACCAGGAGCGTTCATTCCTTTCTTAGGAGGAGATCCTTGACCTCAACAGCCATCCTTCACAGCAAAGAAATTGATTTAATTTCTCTCTCCATTTAATCTTCGATGTTGCTACTGAAGGTGCCAGCAAAGGTGCCTGCTGTAATGTGGATGTATCCTCTGGGAAAAGGGACAGATGGTAACAGGGTCTTGTACCAAGAGTCCAGCCTGTATCTGAACCTATGACCTATACATGAAGGGCTCAGTATCCCATTACAAATCCCCTGAGCTATCTAGTCAGCTGGATCTAATTTTCAAAAAGTCCCTGTCTCATCCCCATTTCTATATTCATCATTTTACATAAGTTAGGCTTCTGGTACCCATTCCATCTGTTAATGCTTTATTTTTCCCTGCATTTAGAAATTGCTGTCTAGCCTCTCTTTCCATTTCTAAACCCATGTTTTCTACATAGCTAGCATTTCATTACCTTTTAAAATGGCATAATTGAGAATTAGATAAAGTTGTTAATACAGTGAATTAATGCAAAAGTTTGTTTAAAGAATGTGGCCATCTTTCATATACCAAGTGAAAGGAATTGCTCAGATTTAAAGTGATGTTTTAACAGCTGAGAAGGGATGAGATTGGCATAAAGATATTAAGTTGTTCCTGTGAGACCCACGCACTTAATGGGGATGTTGCTAGATCTCTTCATTTATCTATTCATAAGACCTTCCAACTGTGACCCAGAAATGCAAATGCTTGTTTTCTAGAGGTAGAAATTTGTTGTTTTGAGTTATTCCTATAATTATGTCTCTTCATAAGTCCAAAGAGACTTATGGCTTTGGCATAAGTCCAAAGAGACTTTGGCTTTGAGTTTCCAGTAACAGCCAGTGTCTAATAATTGTACTGACAGCCTAGGTTAACCATCTCCTGCTTCATAAGCAGAGCAAGTCAGTACTATATCAGGTCATAAACTGTGTAGAATTGCCCTAATTTCCCTCTGAAATATTCTGATGAGTGTCTTAAGAAAAAATGTTTTCCATGTGTATGGAAATTTGAATACAGAAATAAGCTGAATCTAATTGCATTTTTAATATGTAAACTAACATACACTTTCAAAACATAACATCTCATTGTGCAGTCTATTACGTAAAATTATAGTAACAGATTTTTTTTTCTTTAACATTAACCAAAAGAGCTAGTTACTCATTTAAAAAGATTTGAACTCAGAATTTATTAAATTAGTGTGATTTCAGCTGCTTTAAAGCAGATGCAAAGATGTGCCGGTGAGATGGCAACAGTACCATCAAGATTCAGTTTTCGGTAATTACCACCATGAGATGCACTCACAGCAAATATGCTGTACAAGGAATGTACCTGTTCGAGAAAACCCTAAAATACATGTTTTGCTTGAAGCAGGGGAGTTTTCAGGAGGGCGTCAAAGCATGTGTGTAGCCTGGCTGAACATAGGTAATGCCTCATATATACTGTAAAGATAAATACTGTGCAGAGGTGGGAGGCATCAGTTCAAATTATTTGGGGCTAACAAAACTTTATTGTGATGGGATCATAAAATCCTATGTGCGGAGTTCACTTTAAAACATTAGGTTATAATGCTATCAAATCACAGGATACTCCTCCAGTCTGCCAATGCTTTCAGTCACGTAAAAACCCCGGTGCCGCTTTCCTGTTGCCTTCAGGTACGGAAACTTTTCCTGGCGGGGGACCAGAGGAGGAAGACACGCTACCACGCGCCGGCTCCCAAGGCGAAGGGAGAACGGAGACGCCGCCAGAGGCAGCGAGTCCGCAGGCAGCTGCAGGAAAGGCCCACATGGAGGAGCAGGAGCAGCACCACAGCATGGAGCCGGCGCTGGAGCTGCACGCCCAGGCCACTGGGAGAGGGGGCAGGCCGCCTCCGGACTGCTTATCCTCTGGGGATGCTGGTAAAGATAACAGGCTGCAGCCGAGGGAGAGGCAGCTCTCTAAGGATGTGGGGAAAATAGAGGAGGCAGCTGGGGAGCCCGGGGTTAAGCTCTCTGTGGAGCCAATGGTCGATACTTTGTCTTTAACAGATGCTGATTATTTGCCTCCTGATTTGCTTTCTGCTGGTGAAGATGTGCAAGCTGATAGAAATCTGCTCACATCAAAACATGTTGCTGGCTCTGCGGAGACTGCTGGTGGCCAGCTAGGAAACAGTGATTTAAACCAACAGCAGAAACAGCTTGATGATGATGGAAAATCTCCACAGGACAGAACTGCATCAAACATGTGCCCTGGAAATAATCAAGTGTCTGAGCAGGAGAGTACTTCCCATTCGCGAGTATGCAAGGAAATGCAGAATGCAGCAGGACGGGAGGAGGAGAAGGTAAATCATGAAGAACAAGAAGATTTATTTCTCAGATTTTTAAATGGCAACATTATAGACTCTGAAGAATCATTTGCAGACTTAACAAACGAAGAAGACTTTGACACTGTTCCAGATATTTCACCTGAACGAGCATCTTACAGTTCACTGGAGGCTTTATCGTTAGATGACAGCTTTTCCTCCCTCGATGAACTTGCAAGAAGGATAGAGATTGCTGAGGTAAGAACTGCGAATCCTGTAAAACTTGTCCTATTTATTTCACTTGATCACTTTTATATGTTTTAGGGTATTGCCTTCTTTAAAATATGCCTATAAATATGCTAAATATTTCTTCATATAGCACTTTTTAAATATGATTAATAATGATTTGGTTTAATAATTATTTACTTGTCCTAAACTGATTTGGAAAAAAAAAGTTCCTCTTGCCTTCCCTCTTGCCCAGTAGTGCTGTTTCTTTAAAAATCAGATAGATTTTGCATACTGGTATGAAACACTGTATTTTTTTTTCCACAGAGCTTTTCAGGAGAAAAGCTGAAAATTCTTAGTAACTTTTAACTTTATATGAGATCTGCATAGTGCAAATGATTTAACATGCAGTTAATTCTGGTCACAGAATAAAATTTGCCTTGCCATGCCTGTTCCCTTGGATAAAAACAAGGAGAGAGGAACTACGTATATAATAAGCCCTGTATATTCATGTATAAGCAAATTTTTCCAAGTTTAGGCCATTTTGTTATTCAACCAAAAGTAAGAAAGAACTTCTAAGTTTGGATCAACCTTCCTAACATATTACTCACTAATAAACCACAGCAAAGATGAGGACTTCTAAAGCTGAAATGCTCTTCTAAAAATATAGATTGTCAATATTACGTTGGACCTTATTTAGGGACTGTGTGATGATAGCTTAGCTTTGTTTGCCTTCTGATTTTGGTGCTTTTGCAGGCATGGGGCCTTAAATGCTTTTCCTTTAAATAAAAAAAAAATATAAATAAGACTATTGTGAAATGATGTGATTCAAAATGCTGGGTAAGGGGAGGACTTGTAACAACGATATATTTTTAGTGCATCTTTATTTTTAATGCATTTAGCAATATAATACCCTTGAAGATAAAGCAAAACTAATTCAAGCTAATGCACAGAGACCGAGAACCCGTGATCGCTCAGGGACTGCAGCCAAGCAGGGAACTAGACGCTGTGGATCCGTGCTGATGCTATTATATCTTTGGCAAAATCTCCAGGGTAGGAAAGAGTATTTTGTTTTTTCTCCCCACCTGAACAGCTTCCTGACTCCATTCCAAGATGAGGCACTGTGCTCCTCCCCTAAACATCTTGTCTTTTTATGAGATGCCAGGAAGTGTCCTATATTATCAGGTTTGGGAGCTGGGTACAGGAACCTGTTTTTGCTTCCCCTTCTTCTCAATCCAGCAGTAGCTACGCACAAGCTCCTGACAAGACATCCGCGTGGAACTCCACATACTTGCTCACACACATAGCCAACCTTGTGCACTAAATCCATTAGTATTTGTCACTTAGAGGCTGGTTTTGAAAAGCAGTATTTTGCCAACAGTCTGCATTAAGCCCATATGGATATATAGCAAAAGAGCAATCTAAATATCATCCCTCAGCATTAGGTTTCCTTTGAGTCTTTCCGTATTCTAAGCTACAGGAGAGAACTGCTTTTCAGGAAAATGCAAATCCTAAATTAATCCTATAGCAAGTGTTTGCTGTGTTTGTGTTGCATCTCCCTTTTAGGTGATGGGGTACGCGAGAAACATGTTTGTGCTGTTAGGTTAGTTGTGCTTGTGTTGGCCCGGTGAGCAACAGTGATGCTTTCCAGGGAGCGTAGCTTCATTTCTAGTTCTGGTCTCCTACCTCTAGACCTGCACTCCTGTCAAAGGAGGAGCCTGAGTCTTTCCATAACGCTCTTTCTGAACGTAATCTTGGGATTAAGGGAGTGATCTTTGCTGGGGATGGTGGGAGTTTTTTCCAGTCTTTCTTAGCAAGAAGTCTGAGTTGTGTGTAAGGTAGAGGGTTTAAACCAAGGAGAGGGATGGAGAAGGTTTCATCTGGGCTCTAATTAAAATTTGCCATATGCAACATTTGGTGATGCTAGGTGCAGCAGGGTGAGCTGGGGACAGCACAGGGGCTTGTGGGGTGCTTCATTACACGGTTATACTTTTCCCAGATAATTTTATCGCCTGTTGTTATCGCCTGTCCAGCCTGTGAGGACCCACAGCTTCCCTGGGAGGCAACTGTCCCCACAAACTCTCCCCCTCCGCTTCCTCTCGCCGGTCCTGTTTGCAGCGTGCTGACAACTAGGCTGATCTCTCAAGCTGGCCATAACATTTCTTATGTTCTTGTCTCCCTGAAGCCTTTGAAGCTGCCTTACTTAGGCTATGACTATTTAATAAAGTTACTGTGTTTTCATACAATAGTTCTGAAAGAAATACCTAGAAAATGCATTGACAGCCACATAAATACCAGCACAGATGACTCCGTGCTGTGTGACTGTGAAAAACAAAATCAAACTAACAAATACATGGATCACAAAGACCAATATAAATCAGTCTGTGATAAAACCTGTCTGGAAGCAAGTATTTCCAAAATGGCCACAGAGTAGTTAGAATGAAGAGAGAAGCAAAGATTATTTTGAAATAGCTTAAATATGAAAGTGGTATGGTATGATAAAAGTTCATTAACATTCTGCAGTGAAGTATAATAGTAATTTATTGAAAATGGGGAAAGGTAAGTCAGGTTAGAGGCTTTGTTTGACCCTATACTGAGAACAGAGTCATCATATGTAATTCCCTGTTTTAGATCTTTTGTATTACTTGCTTTTAGTCTGTCATTTAGAATAATGAATAAAAGAATAAAAATTCCCTAAATTCTGACCTTGGCTTTAAATAATTACAAAAATACTTTATGTATTTTGTAATCACTTATCCCTTTACCAGTATAGACCATGCACAGCAGTGTGCAAATGATGCCTTGTCCAAACCCAGTCCTTGTGTAGAGACTAAATGGACACAGCCTAACGAGGAGCTCCAAAGGGCAGGCAGCAGTTGGCAGCACCAGATTTCACAAGTGTGTACATAACCTCTGATTAGATCGTGCTGTTATTGCCTGGGAAAATGAAGAAATGACACCTCAGCAGGCAAACACATTGCAACCTTAGTAAAGGCTCGTAGCTAAGGGAGCTTTCTACTCATTCCTTAATTCACCTACTCCTAATGTATGCAGGTGCATTTTGCTGTATGAAGAAAAATTGGGAATATAAACTTTGCATTTAAATGACCAAGGAAGTCCATTAAAATCTTTTTTTTTTCTTTTTCCAAACAGAAGATTGTCTTTTGAAATTTCTTTCAAAAAACGGAGCTGATGAGGCTGCCTACCACAACAGAGGGTGATAACCATGCGGATAACATGGAATATCTATTGCCTGGCAGCTGATTTGAAAGTAGAAATGAAGCTTCCATCAAACCTTACCAAGTGTAGAGGCCGTGTTAGGTTAAAAAATGAGGTTTTTACCCTGAAATGCTTTTACAGTATGCTCTGGGACTGTGTCATGAAGCCCCAATATTTGTATGTTGGCATTTAGCCACAAAAAATGGATTAGTCTAATTATAGTATGACCTCTGAATCTGCTAAATTAGTTCCTTTTCAAAGTTGAATTATTCACATATCAAGTGTATGCTTATTACTGTAGCAAAGGGGCTTGTCACTTCTGACAGCTGGACTCGGAGCCTTCTTGCCTTTTGTCTGTTTGTGGTGTGTTTATGTATTAGTGCTTTAAAAAAATCTGGTGTTGCTAGAAATAAAACCATAGGCCTGTGCCAAGTAACTGCCTAGAGGGGAAAAAGCCCCACAAGAAAATCCAAACCAACCTCCTCCTTGGATGGTTCTCTGCGTTCAGCCCAAAGTACTTCACACAATGTACTTTTTTTCCTAGATGTCAGTTCACAGTGCTCCTGGTTGCTGGGGTTTTATTTACTTCTGTATGCTCACTCTGGTTTTATTTACTTCTATATGCTGTGAATGACTCCAGTAAACAAAAGCTGAATCTGTTTTCTGTAAGAGTTCAAAGTTTAGGCCTGTATTTTTAGTGTTGTCTGTTGTGCATAGAAAAATTAATACCATGTTTTATTGGTCATATTTGACCAACAGAAGAAAATGTGGATAATATGAGAATTTTTTAGACTATTTTGTTAGTGCTCTTTTAAACAAAGAGAAAAAGCAGGTAATCTCACTGGAACTTTTTTTGTGTATGTGTTTCTAATTTGGCAGGCAGCATGTTAAACTTCTTTGATAAAGTGTAAAACTCAGAGGAGAATCACTTAGTAGCAATAAAAAGAGAAAAGCTAAAATATTTAAGAGGTCAAATCAGCCAGCAGTTGCCTTTGTTTTGTCTGTTGGTTAAAATGTGTTGGTTAAAAATCTACCTGTGTGCCGTTTTCTCATACCTATATGGCAACTATAAAAGCTCCAGGCAGGTGATTTTATGAAGGCCAGCAGGGCTAAGTGAGTAAACCCAGTTATGGAGATGCTCCAACAGCTTCTTTTGTTAATTTTCTAACTTAGAATTTAAATAAATTGCATTTTTCAGTAGCTCTTTTATGTAGTAGCTCTTTTAAGTAACACACAGCAGTTGCCTAAATTTTTCCTCCTGGAGTTCAAGCCCTGCAGAGGCTTTACTTGCTGCTAACTGTTTTAACCACTGTTCCCTAGTTAAATTCCAGCTTAAATAGTTGTTTCCTGCCTGTTAATATTCCTCTGGCCTCCTAGTAGTCGTGGAACCTGTAGTCCAGCGTGGCTGCTGGGACAGTCCATGCCCTGTTACTTTCCTTGGCTGTTTCATTAGTGGGAGATGGATCTAAGCCACTCAGTTTGCATATTCCTTTGATAGCTTTCCAAATGCCACATACAGTAGAGAACTACATATACAATTGCTTTAACTGTCTCAGATTTTGTTTGTAGCCTATTCCTGGGAGCAGTAATGACATTTAATGACTGAATATAAGATACAGAAAATGTGGCAATCAAGGTAGAAAATTTTCAGCTGCAGTCAAGAGTATGGTAGAAAAATGTAAATATTGTTTTATTAAGAATTTCGTATGTTTGTATTTGCATTTTAATAATAAACTCTATCCTGAGTAGGAGGCATAGCTTTGTAGGTGCTCTGCAGAACAAAATTAAAGTCTGAGTTACATGACTAATGAATTCAAAGGCAGTAGAAATACTCTAGCTTTGAACTGTGTATCGTGCATGGGAGACATTCTTGTTAGAGAGAGCCTTTAAAATATAGCGTGTGGCATCTGCTGGGTCAAGAGAGTAACACTAAGCACGTGGATTTTTGTTACAAAATCCCAGGCTCTCACTCCTCTGTTTTAAGGAAAATGTAGAGATTTGGGCTGCACGGCCCTGCCCCGCTCAGGTTTGCAGACGTGTAGAAGTAAATCACAGAGCAGAGCCACGGTGGGGCCACCAGGGCGCCCGGCCCACAGACCCTCTTCATAACAGCTACATTGTGTGGGGAGGCCTAACATTAACTTCCTAATTAACTCCTTTATTTTATTTTTTTTTCTCCAAAGGACATTATTTGGAGCCCCTTTCCTCTCCTTCCTCCCAAGCAAATAAGTCAGATTAATCTACCCCTCCCGAGCCCCCTTGGTTGTCATAAGGAGGCATAAGCATTCGGGATTCGCTTCCTACCTGGCCTTGGTGAATTTTCATGACAGTTCAGCAAGGCCAATTTAACATTAGCAGTAGAGGCTTCACTCCAGTGCACTCCTCTGCTGTGAGGAGAAGCTTGCACACTCTTATTTCTGGTTCATTTGTGCCAAGTAATAGTCCTCCTGTATATAATGACTTCTTTACACTGCCTCCACATTTTCACTACTGGAAATGTTTTCATTGCATTGTTTCATTAAATAAACCATTGAAACTTATGTATAGTTAATCAAAATATCAATGGGAAAGTAAATATGGAAAGGGGAATTTCATTGAAGATCAATTTTATCCTCTTAATTGCATTTTTGGGAACAGTATTTGCACTCTAGGCCTATGTCCTCAGTGACCAGTACTATGAGTTTTTCGGTGACAGTTACTTGCCATTTGAGGGGCATAAACTATGGCCCTAGCAGGGACATGCACGTTTATTTGCCACCTTTTCCAGTGCGATGATTGCAATGCCCAGGGAGAGAGCTGTTCCCGTGCGTGTGGGATTGTGCCGGCGCGGCCGCGCGTTCGGAGCGCCCTCGCCGTGCCCGCAGCGCGCGGGTGCCTTGTTAGATAAGGTCGCAGGGTGAAGCGCGTCCAGGGGCGCGCGCCTCCCATCGCTGCAGGACCGACCAGCCCTGTCCCATGGGCCTCTAATTAGGGTAGATTAAGGACCGGAGCTTCCCTCTATTCGTCTGTGCCTTCCCATACTAGCTTGGTGTCTATCCCGGGGAACCGGTCACAGCACTGAAAAATTAATTTCACAGTACGTATTTGATAGTCCCCACAGAATTATGTCTTCAGAGGCATAAAAACTATGTGTGACCGATCCTTTCTTGCCCTCCGATGGCAGCAGTTTTGAGTCGAACCCTCCTCATCAGTGCCCCAGCTCCTAGGATTTATTAATGTTCCCTGGCAAAGGAACTGTTGCAGTGGATAGAGAGCAGGATCCAAAGAGGCTGCCTGTTGAATTTGCAGAGTGATTAAGGACAACTGTTGCCATCCTCGCCACCTCCTAGACAGCAGAATGATAGTGCAGTTGCCCTGCCTGTTAATAAATTCATGTATTCAAGAAACAGCTTCAGAAGCGCTGCCAGAACACTTTTTTTTAAAAAAAGAAAAATAGAATGGAAATCATTTGTGTGGTGTTTATCATATTTCTTCCTTGAAGCCATTGTCAAATAGATCTCAGGCTTGGATTTCTAACATCTGTTGTGCCACTCACTGTTGGATGATTTTGATAATCTTTCCTGATAGATTGCTCCAGCGGAAGGTTTGGTGTCTATACTAAAGAAGAGAGATGACAGGGAAGGAAAAACAATTGCTCAAGTTCAGCAGAGACAAACAAAGAGAAGAGTGCGATTCCAAGAAATGGAAGACACATTAGATCAAGGTATTTTAAAGCTATTAACTCATGGGACATGTTCTTGGGGGGCGAATGAAGTTGGCCTTTTTGCTCGCAGGAGCAATGTGGACATGCAGGGCACGTACATACTTGGCTTTTAACAACTCAATGAAGAAATAGGTACAGGTGATTGATCAAAGATTATTTTGCACCAGCTTTGGGTAACAAGGATGCGTAAGGATATGGTGAGTATGTTTCCCTTTTAAAGATCAGTTAGACTGAAGCCATAGGGATTTTCTTCCCCTGCAACTGACTGATTTGTGAGTGATGTCTGATGGATGTCCCTTCATTAATGCTTAGGGCTTAGAGGCAGGAGGCACAGGTTTTGTCCCTGAATCTAATCAGTGCAGGTAAGGAGGGAGGCAAAAGAAACTGTTATGTTTTATCACAGATAGCCTTCCAGGCCTTTCTGCTAGGCAGTGGGATTGCAGAGCCTCAGATTCGAACTGTGCTTTGAACAGGCATGTACATTTGCTACTAGTTGGTTGAAGTATTCTTAAACTTGATTGAACAGCTCATTATCTTTTGGTGGGCCAATTCACCTCACTTAAAATACTGTTTATTGTTTTGCAGTGCTTTTTATTCACATAGCCTATTGCTGTTACTACAGAAGACGTCATAATAGTAGCTGCAGTAGAAGTCATTTTGTCTTTAGGTAGCAGGGGCAGATAAAAAGACTGTTTTCCACATAAACTAAGGGTTTTCTTTTCTCACTCTGAAGAAATTACTGCTTCTCATCATGTTGTCCTTTAAAACTAGATCTTATCATATTTAGAGATCATCTAAACCAAAGGAAACCATAATGTATGCGTCATGATGAAGCAGCAGCTTGAAACTTAAGGGTTTTTTTACCCTTTTGAGTGGTAATTCCTGGGTTATGGTTGTTGCTAGTGGCACACACAACCAGCTGGGCTGCTTCTGCCTGTGGGATATCTGAGGAGACAGAGTTTGTCTCCATTTTTCTGCCCTAAAGTGCTGAAAATTGCTGGTTCCCCACAATAACCTGAAAAAGAGGGAGTTTGCAAGTGACTTGGGATCACTTGCAAATGAGATAAGTCTTGGTAACAGGGAAGTTTCCAAACATCCTAGATTAGGATAAGCTGTGATTGAGGTGAAGCCATTTCTTTGCTTTATTTTTTGGTTATACTGAAATTAAAGGAAGTGCAGGAGCTTGATGTATACTGGAAGGTATCTTCTCTTGCATTTTCTTGGTAGGATGTTAGGGAACATGTGTGGGAGGGGATCCCATTCACATCTGAAACTTTGAGGAAATCAAACCTGGCCACTGGTTGTGAAGGAAAAATATTCTGATTTCACATAAAACATTTGAAACATTTTCTGAACTTGGCAAAGCAAAACAGACCAAATATCTCCAAAAGACTTGCCTATCAATGTCTGTTTTCCCCTCTTCAACAAGGTTTACAGTGTAATTTTAAAACTAGTAAACTCTAGAATATGGGGACCCATAAGAATATCAATTTTAATAAAGCTTTGATTTCTATTGTTTTTTTAGCCTACCCTCGAGATTTTGCCTCTATTCTTGCAGTGAAAATGTGGGAGTAAATACAAACTGTTCACTCAAGCGCATTCATTCACAATACAAATGAACAAAGGATGCTTCCGTTTATTTTATTTTCAAAGCTGTAATCTCATTTCACGTATTTCCATGAGGGAAGGCTTTGGTTGTGCTGCCATCCTCATATTTATGCTGTTGTGCTCCAGTATAGCATAACTCCACAAGTGAAATAAGCAAGGAAAGGTGAGCAGGTTGCAGAAGTGAAGCTATAGAGTTACTTGGGCTGAGAAGGGTCATTTGTTTCCGCCTAGACAGCAGCACTGTGACGTGTTGAGCATCAGTGTGCAAGTCTACCTCCTGACCAGTTTGTGAGCCAAACCCATCTCAGATTTTCTCTCACACATTTTTATTGTTTTGCACATTGTCCTTTTTCACACGTTCTGCTTTTGCATTTACAGACGAAGCGGCTGGCGGCTCCTGCATTTTGCTGGTCCTGCTGTGCATAGCGACTGTTTTCCTTAGCATTGGAGGCACTGCCTTGTACTGCACTTTTGGTGACATGGAATCCCCCATGTGCAAGGATTTTGCAGCCAACGTGGACTTCTATTATACACAGATATTGCAGCGTATGGAAGAACTTAAGCACTGGATAGCCTTCTCATAGCTGCAGTGGGCAGAGACACGCTAAGAGCTCACCAATGATTCCAGCGATTACTGGTAAAAGAAAAAGAGTGACTTCAAGTTCTCTGTAACACTTGCCACCTTCAGCCGATGTATATCTGGTGATGTACTCATACTTCTACTTATTAATCAAGAAAAGTCCTAGTTTAGCAATCAGGTGGCAAAATGTTCCCATCCTAAGCTGTAGCAGTGTGGTATGGGAGAGCAAAAAGTCGTTCTCATCACCATTTTGAGCAGCTTTTCAACATCTTGAGCAAGTGAAGAAGAAAGAAGAAAACTGACTCTCTTCTCTATCTGCTCTCCCATTGCCACACATTGTGTAAGCAATCTCTGGAAGCTTAGTGAAAGGACATCTTTGATTTACAGCTGTTTGTGCAAAGGTGTTGCCTCCAGCTATCATGCAATAAGTCTGTGTTTTATGAAAGCATTATTTTTCTTCTAAGTCATACTGTTTTTCTCCATTTTAATTCTCCTGGTGAGCCATGTAATAATTTGGGTGGAGTGAGAAGAGTGCAACGACATTCACGGAGCCCTCATTCTGGGATAAAGAGGCTGACTATGTATCTTATAACTTATGGTGAATATCATGAGTGGGATAAATCTGCTGGCAGATTTCACTAGATTTCCTGGAACTTTATTCCAAATATTGTGTGAGCTGTTTTAGAAATAGAAGGTTAAAAAGGAAAATCATTGGTCTCACTGAGCACAGAAACAAAAGTAGGATATTTAGTAAATTATTCATATTAATAGAAAAGTGGCTTTTCTATTAATGGTGGTAATTCAAGTGGCAATTTATAAGCACCTGGAAGTAGGTGTCAGGCTAACTGGTTTTCTTTCCAGCCGTGTCACTGATGTGCAGCAATCACTTGGTGCCTCAGTTTCTCCTCTGTAAATGGGGAATAATGACCCTTGCCTTGTCTGTGAATATTTATTGGAATTAGGACTCATGCCTGATTCTCTTACACTCCAGATGAGTGCACAAGATCACTGGACTAAGGGGCTGCAGTTTCTCTCAATGAGGGAATGTTAACGTAACGTGGGACTGATCCAACAGAAGAAATTCAGATGCAGGAGAGGGTGACAGTCCAGGGCACTCCTTGGTGCAGGCAAAGCACATCTGCATCTATTTGGCCCCGCAGTTTAGACACTTGTAAAATCGATTCTCTCTTTTTCTATCTGCTATACAAACAAGTTTAGATCAGTAAAAAGAATAATTTTAAATGGGTATTTTTATCACATGGTGCTCAGCAGCCCTCGCTGTGCTGTGGTGTGTGAGAGAAAGGCTGACGTGGCTGTTGAAGTCAGAATTATATACACGGGCCTTGGGCCCACGCGGTGGTCAAGATGTGGCAGCTGGTCCCGCACAGATAACAGCCCAGCCTGGCTGAGGGTGTTAGTGTGAAATGATCCCTTTACACCTCAGGATACTGCATTTTGAGGGGCCACTTCACTCCACTCAGTGATTTCCTGCTTACTAACATTGTATGATGCAGTATGTTCAGGTTTAGAATATTATTTTGTAAAATACTACGAAGTGAAATCCTCGAGATATTGCTCAGAATGATAAGCATTAAATGATCATGCTTTCTGGCATTTGCAGGCAAATCGTCCCTCTAGTGAGCTTGGTTGTTCCTAATGCACTGTTACATTTAACGGGTTTTTAAAGTTAAAATCACCTTTTCTAGAATAAATTGCATGTGTGATTTCTCTTTTTATTTTCACAGCTGAGACTCTTTATACCATAGGGAGCCTCATTTGCAGCTTTATATTAAAACTATCTGATTTAAAATGCCCAAATTAATGAAAACTTTTGCTCTCAAAAGAAAGCAAAAGAACAATAATTTGGTATATTTTTTGTTGCGACAGAGTATTACAAGGCTGGACTAATATAAAGGAGAAAGGGAAAGACACTTTTGTATCTCTTAAGGGTTACTGACTGGTTCAGTTTATTGCTTTAAGTTTGGGTATTTATTTAGTTTTTATTTTAAAAATCTTTTTTTTTTTTTTTTGCTAATTTACTTAAGAGTAATGAAAAAGCATGCATTCAATTAAAAATGTATTTATAATTACTGTGCAATTAGAATATATATGGGGTTTCTGCAACTCTGCATTGAGCATTTCAGGATATTAAGTTTACTCCTAGAGCAGCAACTGTTGATTTTAGTTTAAAAAACTCTTTAGTTCTCATGCACTTCATCACCAAAAGAAGATCAAGGGGTATAGATAGAACTATTTATGCAGAAGTATATCGAATACGAAGATCAAAGATCCTGTACTTCTAGGTTCATTTTATTAAAACTATTTTAAAATAATTATTTTATTCAAACCCGTAAAACTGGTGAAAGTCCAGCCTAGTTTTAGGTTGCCAGCCCAGGCCGAGGCCCTCGGGACGCGGGGGCGCCGCGCGCAGCTGCCCCGCTCCTCCGCTGTCCTCCTCTCTTCTTCTCAAGTACTTGAATCCGATAAAACTATTTGGTTTATCTTTTATTTGGCGTCCCTTTATAGAAGGCCGTTGGGACTAACTCCTGCTTCACGTGACGCCGCCCTGGGACAGGAGCTTCCCTCGTCTGTGCTGAGTTATCCCGCTAAGCTCCTTAGCGCTGCACTCAAGCCCAGCCCAGCAGGGCCTTCCTCCGTGTTCGGCTCCCTTCGGGTTGCTGAGACTGACCCGAGCGCCCGCCACCCCGCAGGCAGGGGCATCCCGGCCGAAAGAAAGAGTTGATTTAAGCAGAAATTCTCGTGCCTCTCTTGTTGTAAAGTGACGAGCAACAGTTAAAGCTGTTGTGAGCAACAGTTAAAGCTGTGGTAAGACGCAGCCGGAGGAGCAAGGATTTCCCCACGCCACTTCTGGCATTTTGCAGCCTTTTGTGTATGACAGCTTTAATTCATTCGGTGTCATTCCCTTCAGTTGTTTGTATGGGTTTTCTGCCTGGCAATAGCAGGGAAATATTATGCCCTTATAAAACTGTGGGTAGTTTGTAGAAAAATTCAGGGAATGGTCCCAGTACTTGATGGTAGCTCAAACTCATTCTGTGAAAAATGCCTGTATTTCAAGCTGATGCTGTACTGCTTTCAAAGGAGAAAGCTGTGGTCAGTTAATCAGCTGCAGCACTCTATTAGAAACCCCCACCTTCTTTTATTTTTATTTATATATTTATATGTTTATATGTATGTATACATATGTACATATAAATATATGTATATATAGAGAGAGTGGTTCTCCTAGTAGAGCAAAAGCAACAAGTTTCTTGCTGTAGATTCAATATAAGGAGCCCAAAAAGAGCTTTCTGGGGTCATGATTGCACCCCTTCCCAAAGAGGGGTGTTCCACCACAGCAGGAAGAGCTGCTCTCGGCCACAGCGTCGCAGGCTGGGCGCGTTTCCAGAACAGCGTCAGCGAGAAGGTGTGGTTGCCACAGCCCTTGAATGCCAGCAGAAGCTTGTAGCCTAGGCACACTCAGTGTTTTAAAATCTTTCCCATTATCTTTATGTTCATGCTTGGAGGAAAACATGGAACTCGGTTACAAACAGCGGGAAGTAGCTTGACCAAAAGGGAGACTCTGGTTTAGGGCTTCCTGGGAGTAAAGGACAAGTCCTCTCAATGACCAAAAGGGATGTTACACTCCTAAGAAAACATGGTTGCCTAATTTGTACCGTAATGTAAAAACAAGACCATCTGAAAGGAGTAATAGCTATTTGTAACAAATTTAACGTTAGCTTCCTTTAGCAAAAGGAATAACAGTTGTGTTTGAAACCATCACCCAAGCTTGTATTTTGAATACTGTAGCAAAAAATAAAAATAAAAACTGTCCCAAAGAAAACATATGAGCCTTTTTGGGTACTGTGATTTCTAAATGTATGAAAAAAAATGTTAATTTCACAAATGCTTTGTGAAATTGAAGTAAATGAGCAGTATCTCAACTGAGAATTTTGTGGTCAAACTCAAAACGGAGTGGTAAATGAGAATAATTTGCATGAGGTTCGGTTTTGGTTTTAATGTAAGATTCTTGAATTCTTTGGTCCATTTGTCTTTGTTTTAAGAGCTAAAGGAAAAGCCACAGAGCTCAACCACTTTGTATAGGTGTGTATGAGGTACTACATGTTACGTTATTGCTTCATTCGGAAAACAGATTAACAGATACAGAAATCCTAGCAACTGAGTGGAGGGCCAAGTTAGTGACCACAGGCCAATTTGCACTTTGAATTAAGTTAAAAAACAAAACAAAACAACTCCAAGTCAACCCAGCCCATCCCAGTGGCTTCTGGTTTGAAGAGAAGAATACCAGCCCTGTGTTTTCCAACATCCCCTCCCTTGGCCTTCACCCAAAAGCCAGTCAATGAGGCCACCCAGAATTTTAGGCTGGCTTAAAACATCGTGAGCTCTGAAGAGCAAAATAGCTGCTTTTGTTATCTTTTAGTTTTGTGTTTTCAAGTTGTTCCTTATAGCCTCAAAGAGTGAAAACTAGAATTTAAAAGAAAATAAGCAGAGACCTTGGTATAACTTCACTGAAACTTGTGAGGCAAACTAACCATAGTCTGCCAAACCTGGAGATGAGGGCTGAAAGTGGCCTTTCTCAGTAGAAAAAAAATTGTTGTTGTAAACGGTTCTTCTTTAAAAAATAACATCTTCTGTGAAAAATAACAGGAAGAGAAGAAGATGCTTCATTTCTGAATCCTGATCTGGCTCCTGACCAGGGGCATTGTAGAAACTAGATGGGCTTCGAGTGCGTAGACACTACTGTGCTCATTGGGCACTGAGTTCACTGAACGTATTAGTCACTGCTTTCATCCCTTCGTTCTCTTCAACAAAGCAGCTAAGAAACTGTGGATCTGGTATCAGAGAAATTCAAAGGCCTGGTTCTGCAATGGAGCTCGTCCTGAGCTTGTTTTATACTGAAGCACACCCAAACTTCCAAAGGCCTGGCTAATACCAGACTATTAATAGCTATTAATATGTTGATCTGCTCTTTCTTGAAATCAAGCTTGAGTCCAGTTGAGTCAGTCAGCTCGCTCGCTGTCTTTCATTTTGGCCGAGAAGCTGTCTGGCAAAGTGTCATCTTTTAGTCAAACTGGGCCCCTGATGAGGGCCTCATTTGTCAGGCTCCTAGGGAAGTTTCCAGTAACACTTGTGTCAACTGACCCTTAATGGTCATGTCCCATTTCATTGCACAGGGCAGAAAATGACTGTAAAAACCCCACTATTGTGCTTTCATAGTCCAATCACTTCTACAGCTATTAGCAAAAGCAGCTTTCCGAGTGGGAGCTATTTGTTTCAGCCAGTGCCATGTGCTGAGCACTGCAGTGAGGAAACTATTGCTGCTCACGGGTTTGCTGAAACGTGACCTCATTTCATGACTGCTGTTTGTAACCCATTAACGTGGTGCCAAGGTGGTGGTTTTTAGAGGGCGGGCATCTTTTCAGCTTGTCAGCTTTCGTTCTGCTCTCCTGAACGGGTGTGTTTTCATAGGAAACTAATATTTGTATCAGAAGTGACAGTGAAGTCATATGTGTAACAAGAGGTTATACAACATGAGAAAACTTTAACTATATCAACTTTAAACCTAAAGATGTGTATTTTTGACTTTATTTTAGATTCATTCATCAGTTTTTCTTTGTATCTTTATATTAGAGTGAT